CGAGAGGAAGAGGATGAAGAGGACGAGGAATACGACAAAGAGGAGGAGGGTGAAGAAGAAGAAGAAGAAGAAGTAATGGAAGGCCTGGTAGCTGAAGCAACGAAAAGACGAGGCCTAAAAAGACGATTTTTCTTCGAGAAAAGGGATAAGGATGAAGAAGAAGCCGAAGACGAAGAATTTGATTATGAAGAGGACGAGGAGGATGGTGTTTATATTCCAGAGGGCAAGTTCGAGTCTGAACACGAAATGGAGGAGGATTATGATGAAGATGGAAGAGAGGACAGGGATGAGAATGATGAGGAGGAAGGAGAAGAGGAAGGAGAGGAGGAAGGAGAGGAGGAAGAGTCAGAAGCATCGGGAAACAAGGATGAGGCTGACGACAGGGAGAGGGACACAAAGAGGGCGAGAAGACAGTCGATAAGGGATCAAATGGGGCAAAGTCCTTCAAGTAGGCACAGCTGTACCTTTTCGGCCATTCATTTGGCCCAGTCCTCGCCTGCCTTTTCGGCTCACGACGCTTCTCTCATGCCAGGAAGTAGAGAACAGGTAGTAGAACAGTTGGCGAAACATGAATCTCGCTCTTCCCGATCGACGGACGGACAGTGCAAATGTGTCCCACTCCAATCTTCAGAATCCCCCACGCTGCTCCGTCGGAAGACTGGCGACAAGTCAGACTGGACTATGGCCCAACCACGGGGCGAGGGGGAGGTTAATCACAGTATAGAGGATGAAGGCAATCTAAAGGAAAGGGAAGCACCCGAGAGGGATGTGGAGGAGGAGGAGGAGGAGACAGAACGAGCCGAGGTGGGTAAACTTAAAGAAGAGGATAAAACGACAACTGGCAAGGGCATGACAGAAGAGAAGCAATATTGTCGGTCGGAGAAGGAAGGTGAAGATGGCCAAGCCCCCAATAACGTGGCGGAAGAAGGGAGTGGCAAACCCCGCAACGAACCGCCATGACAGCAGTCCCGGACAGATACTCCAATTTCCTATGTCTGTCTATCTGTCTTAAGCTTCTCAGACAGACCACTCGAGTTGCGGCAACGGGTTGGCAGAATGTTGGGGCCCACCAACAAAACAAAATCGCTGGGGGCATAAATTCTGGAGCCAGGCCAACCATGACTTGACGTTACTGTTGTCCCGACTGCGAATGGGGAACCAAAGAGCTTGTGAATTTCTTCAACTTTATCCTTTGTTTTATACTCCTTTGCATAGAGTCCAACGTAATTTAAGATACCTATACATTTATTTATCTATTTTCGGCCCCCAAAACTTTCTTTTTTTTATTTATATCTGTTTTTTTGTCGTACCCATGACCTTTCTCGTTCCCACCCCCGATCCTCAAAGGGCTATCTCTCTTTTTCGTATTGCATTCTTCCGCCAATGAGGACCTGCCTGGAAGGAAGTCTCATGGTTGTAGCAATCATTATATTTGTACAAAGCATTTATATATGTGTCTTATCACTGTCCCATTTGGCCTTATCATACATGCAGCCTGTCCTGTCAATCACAGAGTAGGACCTGCAATAGCGCAGGGAAACTTGTCTCTTTGCTCATCTCCCTCGTATCATCTTTTTCAGTCCTTCTCTCTCTCCCTCCCTCCCTCTCTTTTTCGTAGGATAGTGACATTTAAAGGTCCTATGTAAATGCAAATTATGCCAAAATTGTGTTAAACAAATGTTATTATTTCTCAGAATATGTGTTAACCTTTTTTTGACGATAAATTAATATGGTAAAGCATCATAGAGACTCTAGCCTAAGTACACGAGTAGATTTATGCTGGAGCATCTTTAATTTCGTCTGAAGAGGAGAATGGAAGGGATTTTTTGGAATAGGTCTTTGATGTACCGCCCTGTGACCCAGATGAATCCTTGCTGAGCTTTCGTCCGTCATGTGAAGGACATCATCAGAGCAGGACACAATGTTTTACGATAATTCACTAAATCCAAAGACCTTTATTGTTGCTGCTCTTGTCCTTGTGTTTTGTCTTTGTGTAGTACACTTACAGCTTTTCTTTAACTTCGTATCTACCACTTACTTAGCGCTGACATCAGCTGGCTAATTCCCTGCCTATTCACACATGCTTCCTCCAAGGCGACAGAAATGGCCTAATAAATAACTGCATATTGTTTCCGTGCAAAATGGGTTTCAACCTCATATTAATATGTCAATAGAGCAAATTTCGAAATTATCCACAGATTTAATAAGAATCCGAGGCAAGGTAGATCGCCTAATATAAAGTAAGTACTACGTTTTGGATTTCCAGACTTGCTTGAGCCAACTCAAGCTTTCTTTTTCATGTTTGGTGATAGAAATTCCCATTTATCCCGATTATCCTGGGGCTTTGATAAATACTCTGCGACCAACCCAGTCCTGCCAAATGCACACTGCCTACTTCACCTCGAGCTGTCACCGGAGCGGCAAACTTCGTAGCTAAATTGAAGATATGAAGATCAAGATTGTGTGGCCTCTGGTAC